GTATTACCCCTTACTAAACATAGTAAATGCTACAAAGCAATAACAGGTCTACATTTTAACTTAAACAGTAGCAATATGTGCATTGTAAGCATGCTCCCATGTTTGTTTCATCTTGTGGTGCTTTACAAATACAGCTGTCACAGACATCACCATATCCTAGGACAACAGCTGCAGCCTTCTGAGCTGTGGATATAGTAGACGGTAGACCTCATAATCAAAAGTACTATGAATGAAATATTTCTATCTCCAACGACAACCAGATTTTCCATGTTTCTAATGCAGCATGGGAGAATGAATGGATGAGCCTGACTGGCTGTTATGGGTAACAAGAACAACTCGTTCAGAAACTTTCATTCAGGAGGTCCACTATGGAATTGCTACAGTGAAACCTAATACCTATACAACACAGCTGCACTAAGGGCTTGTTCACACCATCTCCAGACCAGATCTGGATGTTTCTACACATGCAGTCATGCAGGGGCTGACTGGCAACTTTTAGCCCAGGGGGCAATCAGTCATGTAGCTTTTTGCTGCGTTCCAGTCTTTTACTCTTAATAGGCTTTTCAGTGTGTTCTGGTGTGTTTGCATGTGTGTTTAGGTGCGTTCCAGACCAGAAAAATTATGTAACATGCTAGACTTTAAAAAAAAAAAAAAAAGCTCTGGAACTGGACTTGGACTTGATGGACTAATGTCTTTATTCAACCTCAAATACTATGTAACTGAATGCAATGGTGTAAACTACACACAAAAATGCCATTGGATTCTATGGGGGGTGCCGTTTTGGACCAGAAAAACAATGTGGTCTGCAGATGGTATGAACAAGCCCTAAGGGATGTATGTAGAGATACAGTACTTCGTTATAGGGGTCAAAAGATGACTAAATTATCATTTCTTAACTCTACTACACTCATGTAATCAGTTGTCAAACAGGTTACAAACTGCTAGAAGCTAGGCCCTGCAGTGTAATGTGCAGGTATGCAGACTAGAACTGAGAACAAGCATGGCATCTGCCATCATTCATGGTTGGCTGGAATCACATGAGCAAACCTTATGCAGAGGCCTGCTTCATGCAGCAGCTTGAGATGCTTCTCCTACTATTTCAGGAGCAGAATTCAATATAGAAATTGTTTTTGCTCACTGGCCCTTAAAACATTTAAAGGGTAGATTCACTTTCCCACAAAAGTACAGGAGCTTCTTTTGGAAGCAGAGTCAAGCATTTTGGCCACAATAGACTTATTTGGGAGTGCCTGAAAAACATGTGTAATTTCATTTGTAAAGGTTTTTTTTTGCCATTTACTAGCTTTTCATTGAGTAGAAAAAAGAGAAAACACTGCACCCTTAAAGTGACATTAAAGTATATTTCCTACCCAGCCCCCCCCC